CGGAGGAGCTGGCCCAAGTGGCTGGGGGGAGCGAAGTCTGGGCCTCCCTTCATTTATGCAAAAAAACCTTCAAAACAAATGTTTGGAGTCAAGCAGCTTTAAATAAATGCAATTGTTTGTTTCAGAAAAAAAAACAAGTCCCAAATAAACCATAATATGTTTTTAAGATGTAGGTTTGACTCTGAAACCACCAGAACGCCTCCACTGATGTGATGAAGACACAGTCTTTAGTCCTTCACGCCTCACACTCTTCCAGTGAATGCTAATCAGGATTCATCAGTTTTTGGATCGTTTTGCTACTTGAAGGATTTTTAGTTGTAAGTGTCGTAGCATCATGTGATCAGATTTAACACGAGGAGGAGTCACCTGTAGTATTTCTGTCCAACAGGAAACATCCAAATGGCAGAAATAAGATGGTCTGGAGTGATTTTACTCTACAGCCTGACCGTACTCACTCCAGCAGTCACGGTTGTGTTTTCAGAGCTCGTTGATCCAACGTTTTTAATCTGCATGATTCCTAACGTGATGCCTGCAGGAGGGGAGGCTAGAGAGGAAACTCCTAGACCTGCTGGCTGTTTCTAAATCCTTCAGTAAATATTTCAGAAGCAGAAAAATCCATGACAAATCCAGCTTTTCTCTGGGAAGGATGGCAGCAAAAGGCTACTGTCTCTTTAAGAGCCTGTTCCGCTGTGACAGCCAATCACAAGCCAGGGAACGTGGTTAGACTGTCCTTGTCAACGACCTTGATGGAAGAGGATTGAAGGGATGGAGGATGTGGGAGAGAGGGTGGGAATGCCGATGGAGGATGAAGGTTTCAGATCCTTCTGGTTCGGTCTGATGTGAACTCGGATCACTCCTCCATCCTCCTCCCCCCAGTCCTCCCCATCACCCCGCTCTCCTCACAGCCGAGGCTGGGCAGGGCATTGCGTTATTCCCAGAGTGGGGGAGGGAGGTGAGGATGGCTGAGAGAGACGACTCACGAAGCAACACGCTCAGCTGAAGCACAGACGCCACGGCGTTCATCAGGAGCTTCACTCGTCTGCCAGAGACGAGGCGTGTGCAGAAGTGGTCAAACTCATGCTTCTGCCTTCCGGTTTGACTCACAGGAAATAAGAAATCTGATTGGTTCAAAGCCAACTTTATGCAAATCAGGACATTATAGACGGGAATGACTGTTCTGAAGCTTAGTATCCGGTCAGACAGGATTCTTCTGGTGGATCTGATCTTAAAACCCGACTGTAGGATGAAAACGTGAAATTATGTTTTATTTGAGCTAATCTAATAACACCGATATATATTGTTCATTACATCATTTCCTGTTAAAGTAGATCATATTGATCACCTTCTGACACGGGTATCCACTGGATCGCATCTCATCATCAGAACGTTACTGATGAAGCTTTGAAGGGACCTGCCACTCTTCTCACAGAAAAACGCAGCAGAAACTTTAAAGACCAAGTTCACTTGTTATTTCAACACATCAGCTGTGGTCTCTAGTATAAATGAATGCCTTTGAGTCGATCTCTGTGGAGAAAAAGCTCTGGCGCTCCTGTTTCAGGAACCAGAAGTTAATCAGAGGAGAGGGAAGCACGACACAGCAGTTTTTGGAGTCTTATTTCCTGATATTGAGACATCTCGCTTCTGATTGGCTAACAGCAACGCGACTCTACCACTGACTCTGTTAGCTTTGCAACGCTGGAGCTCCAGAGTTGTTGAAAGAATCAAACGCAGTGAACCGGAGTGATTTCTAGAACGAAATGTTCAATTTTACTCTAATATCTGGTGAAGCAGGCTAGGCTAACGTTAAGCTCATTAAAAAGGGTAAACATAACACCGCTAGGTCTAAATGGGCTGAAATATGATGCGCTGGTAGGGCTTGTCACCTATGGAGCTGTTTGATGAAGACCACAGAAACGCTGCAGCTTGATGAGTTCATGCATGCTTCATGCTAGTCGCTCAGCTGTGTTTTTCTGGCTAAAAACACCCGCAAACCTCCGTTAGCTTCTGTTAGCGTCTGTTAGCTCTGTTAGCTTCTGTTGGCTTGTAGCTGTGAGTAACGGCGATCTCAGATCCTCAGAGCTTTGCTCTCAGCTCCACCTCGGAGTGTCGAAACATGTGACATGGCCAAGATGGCGGTGATCAGAACCGCCCACTGTGGGTGACATCACGGAGGGTTTGTCCGTATTTTTTGAAGTCATTGGTTATTAGTGGGGTCCTTTTCATGATTAAATGATGACTTGCATCAATAAGCGAGTCTCTAGTGGAGAACCAGACTAGAACATCAGCCACTGGAATTGAATTAATGATCCTGAAACGTCTGATTTGACCATTTCTGAGGCTCTCAGCAACAATAAAGGATTTTATGACCAAAAACTAGACATGTATTCATCCACCCACTGAAGGTTGTGATATTTAAGGCTCTTTAATAAGGTACCATTGATCTGGGCTTCAGGTTTCCTCAGACATGTCAGGTTACTCACCAGAGGAATAAAACCAGCCCAGACATCCATCTTCTCTTTCTCCTTATCTGTCACGATGCTGATGTTTCATTTGGCCTGCAAACAAACGCCACTTCGGCTTCCCTGGGAATCACCGTCTGGACGACCTTGTAGAGTAAATCACCGGCCATTCACCACGTAGCGGCGCACGGAGGAGCCGGGAGATCCGATAAGACCTGAAGATCAAATCAGATGATTTACTTCTGCAGGGACAGACGCAGCTTTGCTGTGCCTGGAGAAATGTGTGAACAATAAAGCAGCCAGAGCACCGAAGCTTAGGCTTCTACACACGGTGCATTCACAGCAAATGTTTCATATTTAAGATGCTACGCTAATAGCGGCGTCCCCCTGAAAGCCTGCTCTGAGTAAATATACCAAACAGGGAGCGAACTATCTAGACTACAAACAACCACACAGCGTGTGTTAGACGGTATTATCTGAAGCTACGGAGAAAAATCAACCGTTTGTTAAAAAGAGAAGATCTGAAGGTAAATTAGTTCTTTCTCTAGGTCAGGAGTTAGAGTAAAAAAATCCTCTTATGTTAAAAAAGCATGAATATGTTTTCTCTGATGATATTTGCAGAAAATGATGTAAAGAGACAGAAAATCAGTGGTGCCTTTAGAGTAGGGATGCTGGATGATGGCTTTTTTACAGATAAACCGGTAGAAGAGGAAGAGATTTTTTACATAGAGCCTCTCAAGACAAAAATCACGAGCCGCTTCACAGGAAAAAAACATGTAATTACAAAGGATTAAAACATATTTATGTAAAAAATATTTAATAAATATCATAAATGTGTAAAATTGGAACATTTAAAGGGACTTTTCAGACTTTTGAATTTTTATGCTCGTGATTGCCCCCTCAGGCCAAAAGCGTAACGGCAGCTTCAATAGGAGGCTCGTGCACGAGGCGTGCATGCTTTACGTGCACACTCCTTAACGAAAATAACAGCTGAGACACAGGAGAACGCGCAGCTACTTAACTAAATAATGTGGTTCTGTACCTTTCTCTTCAGCACAGCCGACAAAGGTTTATGATGGGTCAGTCCTCCTGCATGCTCAGATCATTCCCTTCCCTTGCTTGAAAAATTGTTCCAAAATGAAAGTTGAACCCACATCTTTTTTTATCTGTGAATCCAACGCCATTCGGCGAGACTCAAATAAAAATTTGGGCATCTTACTGTAAAAAAAATATACCATTAATGTAAAAAATAAATTCTAAGTAAACTGTTCACGTCCAGAATCGAACTTGGGTTTTCTGCACGAAAGCCCGACGTCTTACTAGGCGAGCTAATGCGCCAGTGATGTCCTTGGTATCTGTAACATTTATATCCTTGATGACAGCTGAAACAACGTTCTAAAGAACGGTTCGGAGGGCGATGCCTGAGCGTGAACGCGCATGAAGCAGCCTGCTCGACTCTTTTTCTGTGATTTTACAGAAAAACAGGCAATCACAGTAAAAATGCCAGGGCTCATTCTACAGGACCAGGACATTGCAGGAGAACGTATGAAGAAGACATTTATTACTTCTATACATGTTTTGGCTGTCAGACTTCCTTAATGTCCCTTTAAACTAAAAGATGAGACAAAATGAAAAAGAAAAAGGTAATAAAGGATCCAGAGAAAGGCAGAATTGGTGGAAACAGCGGCATGAAGAGAAGATGGTGGTAAAGGTCCCACCAACGCCTGAACAGGTGAGTTTAGAGGAGACCACTGAGTCCACTGGTCTCAGCAGCAGATGATCTGTCACCTTTGACCTTTAGCTTGGTGCTGCACAAGGCAGATCAAAATGGAAGTCTTTCATGTGTTCATTAGTCTTTGAATGAATGTTTCTGATGCCGCACCCTCTGCACTGTATCTGCTCCCCCTTCAGGTCTTTTTCTGACTCTTAAATCTGAAATAAATTAGTGTTTTTAATCTGGTTTAAATGTTTTTGTGTGTTCTCGTTTGGATTTTAATGTTCACGCTACGTTCGCTAAAGGACAGAAGATCGAATAGATTCTGTGTCTGAACTGTGCTGTCCACATAAAGCTGGTCCAAACCAGGACGCCGCAAATGTAAGCATGTGTGTGTGTGTGTGTGTGTGGGGGGGGGGGGGGGGGGGGGGGGGGGGTCAATCTATGGCGGAGGGTCTGGGCAATCGTGGATGATCGGAAGGATGACAACAAAATTAGTAAAAGAAGTCCCATATTTACCGTAGTTAGTCTCCAACAGCAGCTGCATCTCATTCTACCCAAGCATGACACAAGATGTGTTTTGATCAGGGGCGTGGCTATGGGTGTGCCTGGGGGGGCCCGGGCCCACCCAATCAAATGGTGTCCTTAAAAAGCTTACCTCTAAATGTATTTTATGTTTGAGGGGTTAGGGTTTCACACAATGAAACTGAAGTATTCCTGAAATATGCATGTATGTGGGGGAAAACCATGGTATTAGTTGGACATGGAGGACATGGTGGGTCTACTCTGGTGCTAGGTTTAGTTTCTGTTGGAGAGATAAAACGTATTTTACATATTCTACGTTAAATAACCCCCTCTGACCAGTCACAGCTGCATATGGGCACAAATACAACAACTGCATGAGTCATTTACAACAGGAAAACAGCTGCATTTGGTCAAATATCATAAAAATGTCAATGATCACAACTCTGCTTCAAAATAAAGGGCCGATGTGTGGTTTTATGGTAGTGAGATAAAATAATGTGGATTTGGTGGATGTCGGTGTTCAGAGTTTTAAAGTTGGGGTTAGGTGAACAAGTGAATCCATGAAATGAATGAATGAGATAAAACAGTAAATTAGATGAGAGCAGCAGCCAGCAGAGCCCAGAGGAGCGACAGCTCTGACAGTAGCTTTGACTTCCTGTTTGGTTTTCCTGTTTGGTTTTTCTAATTTAATCTCGTTGAGGTGTCATTTGTTCTGGCGAACCTACAGAAGAGCAGCGACGCTTTCACGGTGAGTTCAGATGATTTTCTTCTTAAACAAAATTAAACTAATCAGTATTTAATATAAAAACAATCCAAAAATCAGAAATTTTCATATTTCCACTTTAGATGTCAGAAGATTCACACACTGAGCCACAAATGATGAGAAGAAGCTTCATGTTATTTTTTTATAGTTTTAAAATCCTGAAATTTACATTTTATAAACAACTTTTGTGTATTTAAATTAGCTTCAGCTGAAAAACTAAATAAATATCAGAATTCATTCACAAGCTGCTGAATTTAACGTGTGTGTGTGTGTGTGTGTGTGTGTGTGTGTGTTTCAGACTGAGTGTTTCCATGATGAGCTCCATAAAAGGTAAAACCATGAACTCTTTCACTCCCCCCCCCCAAAAAAAAAAAATATATATATATATATATATATATAAAAATATATATATAAATATATATATATATATATATATATATATATATATATATATATATATATATATATATATATATATTTTTTTTTTTTCTTTTGCATCCTTTTTTATTCATTTGAGCCAACAAGGACTCAGAACAGAACAGAACGGGACCGGACCGGACTGGACCTAACAGAGCAGAACAGAACAGAGCAGAACAGAACCGGACCGGACAGGACAGGACAGGACAGGACAGGACCGGACAGGACAGGACAGGACAGGACAGGACCGGACCGGACCGAACAGAACTGAACAGAACGGAAAAGAACCGGACTGGACCGGACCGGACCGAACAGAACAGAACAGAACAGAACCGGACCGGACCGAACATAACAGAACAGAGCAGAACAGAACAGGACCGGACCGGACCAGACCAGACAGGACTGAACAGAACAGAACGGAAAAGAACCGGACTGGACCGGACTGAACAGGAACGAACAGAATAGAATAGAATAGAATAGGCATAATTGATCCCCCAGTGGGGACATTCTCTTGTTAAAGCAGCACACACACTGAGAACAGGAATAAACGATACAGGTAAATACACCTGTAAAGGCTTTTATTGTAACCTTCAGCAATCAGAATAATGAATCAAAGTCTCCAAGAAGAAGCAGCAGAAAGGTCACAGACAGACTAACGACCATCTGGTAATTGGTTGGGTTAGGGTGTGCTGAACGTAGCTCTGCTGTTAGCGTGAAAAGGATAATGCCAGTACTAGTTTACCTGTGGAGTTATACAATCTTACTGCAGAGGGGATGAATGACCTGCGGTAGCGTTGTTTTACATTTTGAATGATTTTAATGTTAATTTTTTTTGTTTAGTAGTTATTTAAGCAAAATCACACTCAAGGTCGTGCGTTGTTGCTGAATATCAGCACTGGTGTGATTCAGTCGTAGGCACGAGGCTTTTACTCAACAGTTCTACCTGCTCATTTTATTTTTATAACAACAATAAGCAACAACAGATTATGATTTGGTCTTTATTCAATCATTTATCAGGCTCTGCCGACACAAATAGTCCCAACACGAAATGGAGACTCAGACAAGGATGTTGCTAGGCAACACAAACATTTTCTACAAAGCACTGTAATAACAGTTAGAACGGCTGTGCACAGCGGAGTGATACTGTTTGTAAACAGTCCCAGTGCTGTTACAGTCCAGTATCAGCACTAAAGTCTCTTGACCAATCAAATCACTCGGTCAGAACTAACTGTTATATAATTGTAGTTTAGTCCAGTTTAAAGTGACAATGTGTATTTTTAGCTTTAATCACTGGAAATATCATCGAAACAATGTTGAAAACGAATAAAATGATGTCCAGTTAAAAAGATATTGGCGACTTCTTAAGATAAAACCATAAAAATCAAGTCAAAAGTACATAGAGGGCGGGTCTAGTGTCTTTGGGGGATGCCATGTTAGAAGGAAAGAAAACAATCTTTTATAAGGTGCCTCTCAAGATATAAATCACAAAGCGCTTCACAAAAACAAAAAATGTAAAATTTAAAAAAGAGTAAAAATAAAAATGATTAGAAAACATGTTTAAAATGAGAAAAAGCATTGTTTTTCAATTCTGATTTTAAAAATTAGGAAAGGGAAAGAAAATGAAAAGGAAAGAGGGAAATCTGTGGATCCCGGGAAAGGCGGACCTTTCAAGTTACTGCAAGTACCAGCTTGGGGACCTGCGCCTGTCGATGACATCACACTAGATGATTGGCTTGACATTCGACTTATGGAAGTTATGTTATCACATTCAAAAGCATTTAGGCAGTAAGAAACACGGATCTAACCGCTAAACTCTAAAAGAGATGCAATATATTTTGGCCGAGTGGTATTGCCATAGTATGATGACATCATCGGCCGGCGCATGACCCACAGCAGAAAACTAGCAATGGCGTTGCATTCTCTCGATGGATCTAACTGAGGAGTCCCGTTAAGGTCACATGCTTTCTGCTCCACAGGTAACATTTATCGTAAGGTTTTCTTAAACTAGCGACTGTCACGGCGATGTGGTGTAAAACTACCCTCGAACATCTGTACTGCCCCCTAGTGGCAGGAAATTACACACTGCCACTTTAATTACAAACCTGCTCCACCAGAGGCTGACCTGCTGGTTCCTGAGCAGGGCACCAGTGGGTGAGGAAGATGAGTGGGTCTTCCAGTAATGTGAAGGTAGTCGGTTCAATCCCAGATCATTTCTATTCTGCAATTGTGACCAAGATACTTCACTCTCTTCACTTCCCTTTCCAGATGTGGGTTGTATGTTGTGAGTGGGTCCAGATGTTGGTTGTATGGTGTGAGTGGGTCCAGATGTTGGTTGTATGTTGTGAGTGGGTCCAGATGTTGGTTGTATGTTGTGAGTGGGTCCAAATGTTGGTTGTATATTGTAAGTGGGTCCAGATGTTGGTTGTATGTTGTGAGTGGGTCCAGATGTTGGTTGCATGTTGTGAGTGGGTCCAAATGTTGGTTGTATATTGTAAGTGGGTCCAGATGTTGGATGTATGTTGTGAGTGGGTCCAGATGTTGGTTGTATGTTGTGAGTGGGTCCAAATGTTGGTTGTATATTGTAAGTGGGTCCAGATGTTGGTTGTATGTTGTGAGTGGGTCCAGATGTTGGTTGCATGTTGTGAGTGGGTCCAGATGTGGGTTGTATGTTGTGAGTGGGTCCAGATGTGGGCTGTATGTTGTGAGTGGGTCCAGATGTTGGCTGTATGTTGTAAGTGGGTCCAGATGTTGGATGTATGTTGTGAGTGGGTCCAGATGTTGGTTGCATGTTGTGAGTGGGCCCAGATGATGGTTGTATGTTGTGAGTGGGTCCAGATGTTGGTTGTATATTGTAAGTGGGTCCAAATGTTGGTTGTATGGTGTGAGTGGGTCCAGATGTTGGTTGTATGGTGTGAGTAGGTCCAGATGTGGGTTGTATGTTGTGAGTGGGTCCAGATGTTGGTTGTATGTTGTGAGTGGGTCCAGATGTGGGTTGTATGTTGTGAGTGGGTCCAGATGTTGGTTGTATGTTGTGAGTGGGTCCAGATGTTGGTTGTATGTTGTGAGTGGGTCCAGATGTTGGTTGTATGTTGTGAGTGGGTCCAGATGTGGGTTGTATGTTGTGAGTGGGTCCAGATGTGGGCTGTATGTTGTGAGTGGGTCCAGATGTTGGCTGTATGTTGTTAGTGGGTCCAGATGTGGGTTGTATGTTGTGAGTGGGTCCAGATGTTGGCTGTATGTTGTGAGTGGGTCCAGATGTTGGTTGTATAATGTGAGTGGGTCCAAATGTTGGTTGTATGGTGTGAGTGGGTCCAAATGTTGGTTGTATGGTGTGAGTGGGTCCAGATGTTGGTTGTATGGTGTGAGTGGGTCCAGATGTTGGTTGTATGTTGTGAGTGGGTCCAGATGTTGGTTGTATGTTGTAAGTGGGTCCAGATGTTGGTTGTATGGTGTGAGTGGGCCCAGATGATGGTTGTATGTTGTGAGTGGGTCCAGATGTTGGTTGTATATTGTAAGTGGGTCCAGATGTTGGTTGTATGTTGTGAGTGGGTCCAGATGTTGGTTGTATGTTGTGAGTGGGTCCAGATGTGGGTTGTATGTTGTGAGTGGGTCCAGATGTTGGTTGTATATTGTGAGTGGGTCCAGATGTGGGTTGTATGTTGTGAGTGGGTCCAGATGTGGGTTGTATGTTGTGAGTGGGTCCAGATGTGGGTTGTATGTTGTGAGTGGGTCCAGATGTGGGTTGTATGTTGTGAGTGGGTCCAGATGTGGGCTGTATGTTGTGAGTGGGTCCAGATGTTGGCTGTATGTTGTAAGTGGGTCCAGATGTTGGTTGTATGTTGTGAGTGGGTCCAGATGTTGGTTGTATGTTGTGATAGGTCCAGATGGTTGTTGTATGTTGTGAGTGGGTCCAAATGTTGGTTGTATGGTGTGAGTGGGTCCAAATGTTGGTTTTATGGTGTGAGTGGGTCCAGATGTTGGTTGTATGGTGTGAGTGGGTCCAGATGTTGGTTGTATGTTGTGAGTGGGTCCAGATGTTGGTTGTATGTTGTAAGTGGGTCCAGATGTGGGTTGTATGTTGTGAGTGGGTCCAGATGTTGGTTGTATGGTGTGAGTGGGTCCAGATGTTGGTTGTATGGTGTGAGTGGGTCCAGATGTTGGTTGTATGGTGTGAGTGGGTCCAAATGTTGGTTGTATGGTGTGAGTGGGTCCAGATGTTGGTTGTATGTTGTGAGTGGGTCCAGATGTGGGCTGTATGTTGTGAGTGGGTCCAGATGTGGGCTGTATGTTGTGAGTGGGTCCAGATGTTGGCTGTATGTTGTAAGTGGGTCCAGATGTGGGTTGTATGTTGTGAGTGGGTCCAGATGTTGGTTGTATGTTGTGAGTGGGTCCAAATGTTGGTTGTATGTTGTGAGTGGGTCCAAATGTTGGTTGTATGGTGTGAGTGGGTCCAGATGTTGGTTGTATGGTGTGAGTGGGTCCAGATGTTGGTTGTATGTTGTGAGTGGGTCCAGATGTGGGTTGTATGTTGTGAGTGGGTCCAGATGTGGGTTGTATGTTGTGAGTGGGTCCAGATGTTGGTTGTATGGTGTGAGTGGGTCCAGATGTTGGTTGTATGGTGTGAGTGGGTCCAGATGTTGGTTGTATGTTGTGAGTGGGTCCAAATGTTGGTTGTATGGTGTGAGTGGGTCCAGATGTCGGTTGTATGTTGTGTGTGGGTCCAGATGTTGGTTGTATGTTGTGAGTGGGTCCAGATGTTGGTTGTATGGTGTGAGTGGGTCCAGATGTTGGTTGTATGTTGTGAGTGGGTCCAGATGTTGGTTGTATGGTGTGAGTGGGTCCAGATGTTGGTTGTATGGTGTGAGTGGGTCCAGATGTTGGTTGTATGTTGTGAGTGGGTCCAGATGTTGGTTGTATGGTGTGAGTGGGTCCAGATGTTGGTTGTATGTTGTGAGTGGGTCCAGATGTTGGTTGTATGTTGTGAGTGGGTCCAGATGTGGGTTGTATGTTGTGAGTGGGTCCAGATGTTGGTTGTATGTTGTGAGTGGGTCCAGATGTTGGTTGTATGTTGTGAGTGGGTCCAGATGTTGGTTGTATGTTGTGAGTGGGTCCAGATGTGGGCTGTATGTTGTGAGTGGGTCCAGATGTTGGCTGTATGTTGTTAGTGGGTCCAGATGTGGGTTGTATGTTGTGAGTGGGTCCAGATGTTGGCTGTATGTTGTGAGTGGGTCCAGATGTTGGTTGTATGTTGTGAGTGGGTCCAAATGTTGGTTGTATGGTGTGAGTGGGTCCAAATGTTGGTTGTATGGTGTGAGTGGGTCCAGATGTTGGTTGTATGGTGTGAGTGGGTCCAGATGTTGGTTGTATGTTGTGAGTGGGTCCAGATGTTGGTTGTGTGTTGTAAGTGGGTCCAGATGTTGGTTGTATGGTGTGAGTGGGCCCAGATGATGGTTGTATGTTGTGAGTGGGTCCAGATGTTGGTTGTATATTGTAAGTGGGTCCAGATGTTGGTTGTATGTTGTGAGTGGGTCCAGATGTTGGTTGTATGTTGTGAGTGGGTCCAGATGTGGGTTGTATGTTGTGAGTGGGTCCAGATGTTGGTTGTATATTGTGAGTGGGTCCAGATGTGGGTTGTATGTTGTGAGTGGGTCCAGATGTGGGTTGTATGTTGTGAGTGGGTCCAGATGTGGGTTGTATGTTGTGAGTGGGTCCAGATGTGGGTTGTATGTTGTGAGTGGGTCCAGATGTGGGCTGTATGTTGTGAGTGGGTCCAGATGTTGGCTGTATGTTGTAAGTGGGTCCAGATGTTGGTTGTATGTTGTGAGTGGGTCCAGATGTTGGTTGTATGTTGTGATAGGTCCAGATGGTTGTTGTATGTTGTGAGTGGGTCCAAATGTTGGTTGTATGGTGTGAGTGGGTCCAAATGTTGGTTTTATGGTGTGAGTGGGTCCAGATGTTGGTTGTATGGTGTGAGTGGGTCCAGATGTTGGTTGTATGTTGTGAGTGGGTCCAGATGTTGGTTGTATGTTGTAAGTGGGTCCAGATGTGGGTTGTATGTTGTGAGTGGGTACAGATGTTGGTTGTATGGTGTGAGTGGGTCCAGATGTCGGTTGTATGGTGTGAGTGGGTCCAGATGTTGGTTGTATGGTGTGAGTGGGTCCAGATGTTGGTTGTATGGTGTGAGTGGGTCCAAATGTTGGTTGTATGGTGTGAGTGGGTCCAGATGTTGGTTGTATGTTGTGAGTGGGTCCAGATGTGGGCTGTATGTTGTGAGTGGGTCCAGATGTGGGCTGTATGTTGTGAGTGGGTCCAGATGTTGGCTGTATGTTGTAAGTGGGTCCAGATGTGGGTTGTATGTTGTGAGTGGGTCCAGATGTTGGTTGTATGTTGTGAGTGGGTCCAGATGTTGGTTGTATGGTGTGAGTGGGTCCAGATGTTGGTTGTATGGTGTGAGTGGGTCCAGATGTTGGTTGTATGTTGTGAGTGGGTCCAGATGTGGGTTGTATGTTGTGAGTGGGTCCAGATGTTGGTTGTATGGTGTGAGTGGGTCCAGATGTTGGTTGTATGGTGTGAGTGGGTCCAGATGTTGGTTGTATGGTGTGAGTGGGTCCAGATGTTGGTTGTATGGTGTGAGTGGGTCCAAATGTTGGTTGTATGGTGTGAGTGGGTCCAGATGTGGGTTGTATGGTGTGAGTGGGTCCAGATGTGGGTTGTATGGTGTGAGTGGGTCCAGATGTTGGTTGTATGTTGTAAGTGGGTCCAGATGTGGGTTGTATGGTGTGAGTGGGTCCAAATGTTGGTTGTATATTGTAAGTGGGTCCAGATGTTGGTTGTATGTTGTGAGTGGGTCCAGATGTTGGTTGTATGTTGTGAGTGGGTCCAAATGTTGGTTGTATGGTGTGAGTGGGTCCAGATGTCGGTTGTATGTTGTGAGTGGGTCCAGATGTTGGTTGTATGTTGTGAGTGGGTCCAGATGTTGGTTGTATGTTGTGAGTGGGTCCAGATGTGGGTTGTATGTTGTGAGTGGGTCCAGATGTTGGCTGTATGTTGTAAGTGGGTCCAGATGTAGGTTGTATGTTGTGAGTGGGTCCAGATGTGGGTTGTATGTTGTGAGTGGGTCCAGATGTTGGTTGTATGGTGTAAGTGGGTCCAGATGTGGGTTGTATGTTGTGAGTGGGTCCAGATGTGGGTTGTATGTTGTGAGTGGGTCCAGATGTGTGTTGTATGTTGTGAGTGGGTCCAGATGTGGGTTGTATGTTGTGAGTGGGTCCAGATGTTGGTTGTATGTTGTAAGTGGGTCCAGATGTTGGTTGTATGTTGTGAGTGGGTCCAGATGTGGGTTGTATGTTGTGAGTGGGTCCAGATGTTGGTTGTATGTTGTGAGTGGGTCCAAATAGTGGTTGTATGTTGTGAGTGGGTCCAAATGTTGGTTGTATGGTGTGAGTGGGTCCAGATGTTGGTTGTATGGTGTGAGTGGGTCCAGATGTTGGTTGTATGTTGTGAGTGGGTCCAGATGTTGGTTGTATGTTGTGAGTGGGTCCAGATGTGGGTTGTATGTTGTGAGTGGGTCCAGATGTTGGTTGTATGGTGTGAGTGGGTCCAGATGTTGGTTGTATGGTGTGAGTGGGTCCAGATGTTGGTTGTATGGTGTGAGTGGGTCCAGATGTTGGTTGTATGGTGTGAGTGGGTCCAAATGTTGGTTGTATGGTGTGAGTGGGTCCAGATGTGGGTTGTATGGTGTGAGTGGGTCCAGATGTGGGTTGTATGGTGTGAGTGGGTCCAGATGTTGGTTGTATGTTGTAAGTGGGTCCAGATGTGGGTTGTATGGTGTGAGTGGGTCCAAATGTTGGTTGTATATTGTAAGTGGGTCCAGATGTTGGTTGTATGTTGTGAGTGGGTCCAGATGTTGGTTGTATGTTGTGAGTGGGTCCAAATGTTGGTTGTATGGTGTGAGTGGGTCCAGATGTCGGTTGTATGTTGTGAGTGGGTCCAGATGTTGGTTGTATGTTGTGAGTGGGTCCAGATGTTGGTTGTATGGTGTGAGTGGGTCCAGATGTTGGTTGTATGTTGTGAGTGGGTCCAGATGTTGGTTGTATGGTGTGAGTGGGTCCAGATGTCGGTTGTATGGTGTGAGTGGGTCCAGATGTCGGTTGTATGTTGTGAGTGGGTCCAGATGTCGGTTGTATGTTGTGAGTGGGTCCAGATGTCGGTTGTATGTTGTGAGTGGGTCCAGATGTCGGTTGTATGTTGTGAGTGGGTCCAGATGTTGCCTGTATGTTGTGAGTGGGTCCAGATGTTGGTTGTATGTTGTGAGTGGGTCCAGATGTTGGTTGTATGTTGTGAGTGGGTCCAGATGTGGGTTGTATGTTGTGAGTGGGTCCAGATGTTGGTTGTATGTTGTGAGTGGGTCCAGATGTTGGCTGTATGTTGTAAGTGGGTCCAGATGTAGGTTGTATGTTGTGAGTGGGTCCAGATGTGGGTTGTATGTTGTGAGTGGGTCCAGATGTAGGTTGTATGTTGTGAGTGGGTCCAGATGTGGGTTGTATGTTGTGAGTGGGTCCAGATGTTGGTTGTATGTTGTGAGTGGGTCCAGATGTGGGTTGTATGTTGTGAGTGGGTCCAGATGTGGGTTGTATGTTGTGAGTGGGTCCAGATGTGGGTTGTATGTTGTGAGTGGGTCCAGATGTGGGTTGTATGTTGTGAGTGGGTCCAGATGTGGGTTGTATGTTGTGAGTGGGTCCAGATGTGGGTTGTATGTTGTGAGTGGGTCCAGATGTGGGTTGTATGTTGTGAGTGGGTCCAGATGTGGGTTGTATGTTGTAAGTGGGTCCAGATGTAGGTTGTATGTTGTAAGTGGGTCCAGATGTGGGTTGTATGTTGTGAGTGGGTCCAGATGTTGGTTGTATGTTGTAAGTGGGTCCAGATGTAGGTTGTATGTTGTAAGTGGGTCCAGATGTGGGTTGTATGTTGTGAGTGGGTCCAGATGTTGGTTGTATGTTGTGAGTGGGTCCAGATGTGGGTTGTATGTTGTGAGTGGGTCCAGATGTGTGTTGTATGTTGTGAGTGGGTCCAGATGTGGGTTGTATGTTGTGAGTGGGTCCAGATGTTGGTTGTATGTTGTAAGTGGGTCCAGATGTTGGTTGTATGTTGTGAGTGGGTCCAGATGTGGGTTGTATGTTGTGAGTGGGTCCAGATGTGGGTTGTATGTTGTGAGTGGGTCCAGATGTGGGTTGTATGTTGTGAGTGGGTCCAGATGTTGATGTGGTTCTCCTCTAAATGCTCCTCAGGTGAAGCTGCTGCCTCTCAGCATGAAAAACCAAACAGGAAGTCAAATCTGCTTCTCGGGGCTCTGCTGGCTGCTGCTCTCATCATTATCTACAGACTCGGTGAGTTCTGACTGATTTATTTACTATTTCATGTGTTAGAGGACAAGAGGAGAACTCTGTTATTCTGATTTCATCTGATTTTAACTTCTGACTTTTCTTTAATCAGCTTTTGATAAAATTAGAACCAACAAAACTCTCCAAACCCTGAAGGAGGACAATAAGGTTCTAAGTGAGGAGAATGAAGTTCTGAGAAAACACATCTCAGGTGAGAATGTCGGGTTTGAAAGAGTCCAGAAGGTTCAGCCTGGAGGTCTGATTCAGGCCCGTCAGGATGGTTTAATCTGAGACTTTCTGCTGTTTAACCACTAATGAGGACAGCTTTGATGTTTTGAGGCAAAAAGAACAATGAAGATTTTCTTGTAAAAGTTATAAAATCAATAAAAATGGATTCAGTTTTTCATCTTTAAACAGCAAAAAATCCAAGCAGCAAAATGTAGTCTCTATCTCCTCCAGCTCCTACATGTGCTGTGCTGTGGTCTATCGTCCACCTGGTCCAAACAGCTCTTTCCTTCAGGAGTTTAGTGACTTTCTATCCTCCACTGTGAAGCTGTCCAGACTGGTGATTGTTGGTGACTTTAACATCCACCTCTGCATGCCCCCTCGACATCTTACCCTCATCTTTGTTTAAAAGTGCTTTTCTGTCCATCGGTCCCAGCGTGCTCTCTATGATTAATGCTTCTCTAGTTTCTGGTCAGGTCCCTGCTTACTTTAAGAACACTGTAATCCACCTGCTTCTTAAATTCCAGAACTGCGCTGCTCTAGGCGGCTGCACGTTGGAGTAGCTCTGTTGACTATATGTAAGTTTTGCCTTTCCTTGGGCATTTTTTCTACTAGTTTCTCAAGAAAAACAGTATTTTTTTGGACATTTTACTTTTCTGTTTATGGTGCTGTGATGCTTGGTGGATTTTTACTGCTTTATTTCACTTTTTTCACTTTTTGAGCATTTGTTATGATGCATAACCATGGCAACAAGCTGGTTTACAATCGGGAGCAGCTGATTAACATAGGAAAGGCTGAAATAATACCTCAACTGAAGCCACAAATCCCAAATGAGCTAAAACGCAAGAAGCGTGGATGCAGAGCGGGAGCAAAACGGAGACAGAGAAAGAGGAAATTCAAACCATCTCTTCCATCGATCATAATGGGCAATGTGAGATCACTGGCCAAGAAGATGGAGGAACTCCAAGCCCTTTCAAGGACTCAGCCAGAGTTTCGGCAGTGCAGTGTTATGTGTTTCACTGAGACGTGGCTGCAGGACCATATCCCCGATTCCAGCGTCTCTCTGCCAGGTTTCCTGACTGTATGAGCAGACAGATCTGAAGAGAAGCGGGAAAAGAAAAGGAGGTGGAGTGGCAGTGCTTGTCAACAACAGATGGTGCCATTCAGGTCATGTTTCAGTGAAATGTCGTCTCTGCAGCCCAGATGTTGACGTCTTGGCAGTAAGTTGTCGCCCATATTATTTGCCAAGAGAGTTCACCAGTGTTGTCTTGGCAAACGTTTATATTCCACCTTCAGCCACTGCTGAAAATGCATGTGATGCCATCATTTCTGTTGTGGCTAAGCTACAAACCCAGCACCCCAATGCATTTGTGGCTATATCTGGTGATTTTAATCATGCCTCGCTCTCTGCTAAACTTCCAACATTTCAACAGTTTGTCAGCTGCTCCACCAGAGAAAACAAGACATTGGATCTGTGTTATGCAAATGTAAAGAATGCATACATGTCCAAAACAAGACCTCCTCTGGGACAATCAGATCACAATCTTGTTTTTCTCTGCTCAGAATACAAACCACTTGTTCAGAGGCAACCTGTGACAAGAAGAACTGTGAGAAAATGGTCACAGGACACTGAAGAAGCCCTGCAGGGTTGTTTTGAGACCACAGATTAGATGACTCTCTGCCACGGACATGAAGAGGACATTGATGCCATGACTGGATGTGTCACTGACTATATAAACTTCTGTGAGGACAACATCATACCCACCAGAACAGTGAGATGATTCGCTAATAACAAACCCTGGATCACCAGTGAACTGAAGAATCTGCTAAATGATCAAAAAAGAGCCTTCATGAACGGAGACAGGGAATTATTGAGGAGTACACAGAAGCAACTGAAGATCAAGATCAGAGACAGCAAGGAGGCATACAGGAAGAAGCTGGAGAACAAACTACAGAGGAACAATATCAGAGATGTCTGGTCAGGGATGAAGAAGATCACAGGCTTCAAGCAGCTGGAGACTGAACAGGAACAAGGCTGCAGGTCCAGATGGTGTCAGCCCCAGAGTACTGAAGGCCTGTGCAGAGCAGCTCTGTGGGATTCTGCAGCACCTCTTCAACCTCAGCCTGGCCCAGGAGAAGGTTCCAGTCCTGTGGAAGACATCCTGCCTTATTCTAGTTCCAAAGACAACTCGCCCATCAGTCAATGACGACTACAGACCAGTTGCCCTGACATCCCACATCATGAAGGTCCTGGAGAGACTCCTGTTGGTCCACCTGAATAAGCAAACTAGAACATATCAGGACCTGCTGCAGTTTGCTTATCGCCATGGAGTTGGAGTTGAAGATGCCATCATCCAGCTGCTTCAACCAACCCACTGTCATCTGGACAAAGCAGGCAGCACTGTCAGGGTCATGTTCTTTGATTTCTCCAGTGCATTTAACACAATCCAGCCTGATGTACTTTGCCAGAAACTCCAGAAGACACAGTTGGGGGCCTCAACTATCGCCTGGATTAAAGACCACCTGACAACCAGACCACAGTTTGTGAGGCTGAAGAACTGCACATCAAACCAGGCGATCAGTAACATTGGAGCACCACAGGGGACTGTACTCTCACCATTTCTTTTCACCCTGTACACCTCAGACTTCCAGTACAAGTCAGAGACCTGTCATCTACAGAAATACTCAGATGACTCTGCAGTTGTCGGGTGTATCAGAGAAGGACAGGAAGCTGAGTACAGAGAGCTGGTGGAGCGCTTTGTGGCATGGTGTGGAAACAATCATCTGACCTTGAACGTGAACAAAACAAAGGAGATGATTTTAGACTTCAGAAGAAACAGGGTGGAGTCAAACACTGTTTCCATCATGGGAGAAGAAGTGGAGGTGGTCGAGGAATACAAATACCTTGGAGTTCACCTGGACAACAGACTGGACTGGAGAAAGAACAGCGAAGCCGTTTACAAGAAGGGACACAGCAGACTGCACTTCTTGAGGACGCTTAGGTCCTTCAATGTCTGTAGCAAGATGCTGCAGATCTTCTACAAGTCTGTTGTTGAGAGTGTAATCTCTTCAGCCATCGTCTGCTGGGGTAGCAGCATCAGAAGCAGGGACCTGAAAAGGCTCAACAGCCTAATAAAAAAGGCTGGTTCTGTTCTGGGGACGACTGTGGAACCGCTGGAGGAGATGATGCAAAGAAGGTTCTCCAGAGAATCAAGAAAATGATGGACAACCCTGAGCGTTCTCTTCACAAGACTGTCCGACAACAGAAGAGTGTCTTCAGTCAGAGGCTTCTTCAGTTTGGCTGCAACACTGACCGCTACTGGAGGTCCTTCCTGCCAACAGCCAGTGTAATATACAACAACTCTTTGATGACTTGATTATTATTATTATTCTGAGCTGCTACAGCAATCAATTTCCCTCTGGGATTAATAAAGTATTTTTGAATTGAATTGAATTGATGATCTTAGTCCCTACACCCCCAGCAGGTCCCTGAGGTCCAGTGATCAAAGCCTACTGGTTGTGCAGCATCAGGCTAAAGGTCAAAGGTGACAGATCATTTGCTGCTGTGGCCCCCAGACTCTGGACCTCTCTCCCCCTGAGCCTGAGATCAGTGGACTCAGTGGTCTCCTTTAAAAAGCAGCTGAAGACTCATTTGTTCAAGCTGGCTTTTGTATGACCTTCTTCACCTCTCTCTCTTTATTCTGCTCTCCCCACCTATTCCACCTTCCTCAGGATCCACTGATTTCCCTCTTTCCTGTTCTCTCTCTCTTTCTTAATAATTTTTTTTATCATAATTGCCTATTTTTTGCTCATTTAAAATATATTTTTAACCATTTTCTAAATTCTTTTTTATATTTTTACATTTTTGTTTTTGTGAAGCTCCTCCTGATTTTTATCTTGAGAGGTGCTATAGAAATTATATTTTCTTCTTCTTCTACGTGTCCTCCTGCTCCTGAAGAACAAAGTAAGCAGAGGTCTTCTCCTCCTGACCTCTCTGTCCTGTAATGATGTTAAAGAAACATTGATGGAGCCACAGAAACAGGAAGTTAGATGGTAACTGCAGGACAGAAGACGCCTCCTGCTGCCTCCTAATCACACAAACATCTACAGAGATTTCTTCCTCCTGGATGAATCCAGTCTTTGTTCTCATCTGTTCTAAGATCACGTTTGTCTGAAGTCGGACAGAAACTGGGAGAAACATGGAGACAAGTGTTATTATTTCAATGACCTTTACTTACGCTGGAAAGGGAGCAGAAGTTTCTGTGAGGATCTGGGAGCAGACCTGGTGAAGATCGACAGCAGAGAGGAGCAGGTATGAGACACTGCTGCAGGTTCATGTTCTCACAGATTTCATCATCATGTTTCTTCATCTGAGCTCAGAAACGTCTCTGAGTCATTTTCATCTGATTTGATTCAGGAGTTCCTGGTGGAGAAAGTGAAAAACTTTGTGATGGATGACATTTGGGAAGGTTTCTGGATCGGACTGACAGACTCAGAGGTAGAAGGCAACTGGACCTGGGTGGACGGATCTCCACTGGACAGCAGGTCTGATGGTTGTGTGAATATTTCAGTCAGTTTCAGAAAATCAACTTGACAAGGCTTTTCTGGATCAGAGTCTCCAGTTTTAATGGATTTTGTTCTTTTTACTCATCTGTCAGAATGAAGTTTTGGTCAGAAGGAGAGCCTGATGACTATAAAGCATACAGTGCATCTGGAGAGGACTGTGTGACGATTGTGAAGGGAGAAGCTGAAGATCTGAACTCCTGGACTGATTACACCTGTAGCGTTGCTCGTAAAAGTATCTGTGAGAAACCAGCAGGAACTGGACTGAGTTCATCTGTTTGTGGCTGAAGTTCAGTTCAGTCTCTGGAACAACCTGAGTCCAGGATCCAGGAGGAGCAGAGATGATGTTTGTAGAAAGTTCATCTCACTAAATCATCTGATTTGTACCATTTTAATGTAAACGTAGTTAAGTTTTTCTGACTGTACTAAAAAAAACAATCTATTGAATGAAAAGTTTAAATTTTATAAACTCATGTTTGCTTTTTAAATAAAAAAAATCCAAATAATGTGATTTGATAAAATGTTGTTGATCTAATACATGTGAGATGATTTAACTGAAGTGTTTCATCAGAAGAAACGTTCTCATCAAAAAGCTCAAAATGAACGTTTTCATAGAAAAATCGAAACCCAACCAGAAGTAAGAGTTTCATGTATAATGTGTGTGTGTGGGATGTCAAAGTTGTGTGATCAAAGACTGAAAACCAATACGGATATTTTCCGATATTAAATTAGAATGCCGACATCGGCCGATATTAGTGGAAGATCAATGATGTCGGACATCCCTACCTTAGTGTCATTCTGTTGTGGTCATAATCTCAAAGTTAGAGGCCATTATGCCATGAAAAAAAAAAGCTGCTTAAACCTGCGTTTTTAATAATATATACAATAAAAAACAAGTTAGTTTTATTAAATCCTTTTTAGCTAAAGTTAAGAGCTCCAGACCCCGGGCCACCTTTCCCCAGCTGCGATCATCAGATCCTCTGGCGGGATTCCCAGGTCAGCCAGGATATACAATCCCATTTTCATCTCCTGGGTTGACCCCAGGAACATTCTGCTGGCAGGACATTCCTTAAACACCTCCAAGGGAAGTCCAGGAGTCCTCCTGACCAGATGCTCCAAACACCTCAGGAAGCTTCTCACAACTTCTGTCATAAATTCTCACTTCACCCATTTCTTGATTTGTAACGTGGATTAGCATAGCAACAACTAAGCTAACTGTTGTTCAACGAGGAAAACACTTTTCCTACGTTTTAGTTTGTCAGGAATTTTATTGTTAAAATATTCTCTTATCTCGTTCTGCCTTAAATATCACAATAAGTTAGCGTTAGCTCATGTCAGCTAACAGTTAGCATAAGCATCAAGCTAATCGAATAGCTTTGATTTTATGAAAATTGAATTTTTTCACACCAAAATAAAAAAACGAAGAGAAAATCGCAGCTTCTGCTGCAATAAGAGTCTTTGTGAGGAACTTTCTGTTGTATTTAGCATCTCTGGTGTCTAAATCAAACAGTAAACCATCTCCCTCCTTCCTGTTTCTCCACAGATGTATTAGTCACACGGGTCTTTTGTCTCCGCACATCTTTCTGCCCTCCACCATCCTGTCACGCTGTCATCTCACAGCTTCCATCCATCCATTACTCAGACAGCTGCTGTTATTCTCTGATGGGCTCTCCATTTTAGACCCAGTTCCTGTGCAGCTCCGCCTAAAATGGATCCTGTTGGTGGGACTCGTGGGATGCTGAAGCTGCAGAGTGATTTGACTTTGGGTGGAGGCTGCTATGACAGGGACGTTAATGGGAAACGGCTGTGATTTACTGTTCGAAGGTTTGTGTTTCAGAGACTGTGAAGTGGATCTGCTACAGAGAGAGGAGAGCATGAATCTCTAGTTCATGTAAACATTTGCATTTTATGATAATCTCAAGACAAGCTGCTGTCTCTGAATGATGGATAGCATTTATGTAAATTGCATTATGGGTATTGATTAGCTGGAATCTCACTGATGGATCTCCTCATGCCAAATTCTCCATGCATCCTCCCCTCTTTCCTCCTCTCTGCATCTTATGAATGAGTCTGCCGGAGGAGCTGGAGATGCTGCGACGGGCTCACGGGAGTTTAATTTTAGACGCGTAATCCCCCCGTTTTCCAGGCTTCTATAAATAATCTCTGCTCTCGCACTCAACCCCTCTCACCCACGCAACCGCTGTTCGATGGACTACGTGGGAGGGTGGGGGTGTTGCCTAGCAACCATATCCTGAATCCCAACGTGATTTGGTGACTGACATCAAGTGTGGTAGTAGCACGCTTGTTCCTGTGATACACACACACACACACACACACACACACACACACACACACACACACACACACACACACACACACACACACACACACACACACACAGTTGGAACATGGGAAAGCTGTTGAAGGAAATTTAAATCCGAGACGTATGGACATTTTTAATTTTGTATTCTGAGATGCTGGGGACAGGTGGGAGACGGGTAAGACACAGGCAAGAGTCAGGTGGGAGACAGGTGGGAGACAGGTGGGAGACAGGTAAGAGGTGGGAGACGGGTCAGAGACGGGTAAGAGGTGGGAGACGGGTAAGACACAGGTAAGAGCCAGGTGGGAGACAGGTGAGAGACAGGTGGGAGACAGGTGAGAGGTGGGAGACGGGTAAGACACAGGCAAGAGTCAGGTGGGAGACAGGTGAGAGACAGGTGGGAGACAGGTAAGAGGTGGGAGACGGGTCAGAGACGGGTAAGAGGTGGGAGACGGGTAAGACACAGGTAAGAGCCAGGTGGGAGACAGGTGAGAGGTGGGAGACGGGTAAGACACAGGCAAGAGCCAGGTGGGAGACAGGTAAGAGTCAGGTAAGAGACAGATAAGAGGTGGGAGACAGGTGGGAGACACATAAGAGGTGAGAGAAAGGTGGGAGATGGGTAAGAGACAGGTAAGAGACAGGTAAGAGACAGATAAGAGGTGGGAGACAGGTGGGAGACGGGTGGGAGATGGGTGAGAGACAGATAAGAGACAGATAAGAGGTGGGAGACAGGTGGGAGATGGGTAAGAGACAGATAAGAGGTGGGAGACAGGTGGGAGATGGGTAAGAGACAGATAAGAGGTGGGAGACAAGTGAGAGACAGGTGGGAGATGAGTAAGAGACAGGTAAGAGACAGATAAGAGGTGGGAGACAGGTGGGAGACGGGTAAGAGACAGATAAGAGGTGGGAGACGGGTGGGAGATGGGTAAGAGACAGGTAAGAGGTGGGAGACAAGTAAGAGACAGGTGGGAGATAGGTAAGAGGTGGGAGACAGATAAGAGACAGATAAGAGGTGGGAGACAGGTGGGAGACGGGTAAGAAACAGAAAGAGGTGGGAGACAAGTGAGAGACAGGTGGGAGACAGGTAAGAGACAAATAAGAGGTGGGAGACAGGTCGGAGATGGGTGAGAGACAGGTAAGAGACAGATAAGAGGTGGGAGACAGGTGCGAGGCGGGTGAGAAACAGGTAAGAGACAGATAAGAGGTGAGACAGGTGGGAGACGGGTAAGAGACAGGTAAGAGACAGATAAGAGGGGGGAGACAGGTGGGAGACAGGTGGGAGACAGGTAAGAGACTGATAAGAGGTGAGAGACAGGTGGGAGACAGGTAAGAGACAGGTAAGAGACAGATAAGAGGGGGGAGACAGGTGGGAGACGGGTGAGAGACAGATAAGAGGTGAGAGACAGGTGGGAGACGGGTGAGAGACAGGTGGGAGACAAGTGAGAGACAGATAAGAGGTGAGAGACAGGTGGGAGACAGGTAAGAGGTGGGAGACAGGTAAGAAACTGATAAGAGGTGAGAGACAGGTGGGAGACGGGTGAGAGACAGATAAGAGGTGAGAGACAGGTGGGAGACAGGTAAGAGGTGGGAGACAGGTAAGAAACTGATAAGAGGTGAGAGACAGGTGGGAGATGGGTAAGAGACAGGTAAGAGACAGATTAGAGGGGGGAGACAGGTGGGAGACGGGTGAGAGACAGGTGGGAGATAAGTGAGAGACAGGTGGGAGACAGGTAAGAGGTGGGAGACAGGTAAGAGACTGATAAGAGGTGAGAGACAGGTGGGAGATGGGTGAGAGACAGGTGGGAGATGGGTGAGAGACAGGTGGGAGACAGGTAAGAGGTGGGAGACAGGTAAGAGACTGATAAGAGGTGAGAGACAGGTGGGAGACGGGTAAGAGACAGGTAAGAGACAGATAAGAGGTGAGAGACAGGTGGGAGATGGGTGAGAGACAGGTGGGAGACAAGTGAGAGACAGGTGGGAGACAGGTAAGAGGTGGGAGACAGGTAAGAGACTGATAAGAGGGGGGAGACAGGTGGGAGACAGGTAAGAGGTGGGAGACAGGTGGTAGACGGGTGAGAGACAGGTAAGAGACAGGTAAGAGACAGGTAAGAGACAGGTAAGAGGTGGGAGACAGGTGGGAGACGGGTGAGAGACAGGTAAGAGACAGATAAGAGGTGGGAGACAAGTGAGAGACAGGTGGGAGACAGGTAAGAGACAGGTAAGAGACAGATAAGAGGTGGGAGACAGGTGGGAGACGGGTGAGAGACAGGTAAGAGACAGATAAGAGGTGGGAGACAGGTGGGAGACGGGTGAGAGACAGGTAAGAGACAGATAAGAGGTGGGAGACAAGTGAGAGACAGGTGGGAGACGGGTAAGAGACAGGTAAGAGGTGGGAGACAGGTGGGAGACGGGTGAGAGGTGGGAGACAGGTGTTGAAACTAATTTCAACATAACATTGCAGTGTAGAAAATTCACAGTTTAATTCTCAAAAGCCCAAACATAACTAAATACATGCTTCAAATTTAAAATCCAGCTCACTTCAGAAGGTGTTCAGCTTGAAATGATCTTTGGGAAAATAAAAATATTTGGAGTTTTTGCTGAAAACATTTTTTTATCAATTTCCCTCAACAGAAATCCTGCTGGTGCGTCTGCAGCACCGATGCCGATAGAACACATTCTGCATTTGATCCGTTCTGCACGCAGCTAACACACATCGTCCATGCACACTTTGTCTTGTGGAATAATCGTGTTTATCCGCGAGAAAAGACAAGGTGGGATAAATGACATTTGGAGTTTTTGTCGTAATGATATTTCTAATAAACGTTGTTAATGAAAACTCCACCCTCTCTCTTCCTTTTAGGAACTTATTGTGTAACAGATTTACGCTGGCTCTGTACGGACTCCCCAGCACCATGCGCGCTGCCTTGTTTTGTGCACTTTGTACCTTATCTAGATTATTTAGATCGGTGTTGGACCAAACCACAGAGGCTAGGTCTAAGTGTGAAAGCACCAGTGGCTGAATCAGTTTCTTAATGGAGTGAAATGGAATGAATTTCCAACAACGTCTGATAATCGCCGTACTTCTTATTTCAACAGGGAGTTAATCTGATTCACCCGGGATAGATTATTATCAACAACCAGTCCAGAACTATGTTGTTCGAGTTATTTAAGAATCCTGCTGTTGTTTCATTTGTATTCATGTTATTTTAGTTATAAGGGGCAGATAAGTTTTTCTTCTTTTTGTCCCCGTTTTCATTTTGTTTTTTTCTAATTTTGTTTTGTATTTTGATTTTAATGTCAATAAATGAAAATAAAGAAAAATATGTTACTGCACGGGCCCGTCCTCGTCTCCTCGTCTCCTCGTCTCCGTAGTCTGAATCAGAATCCATCAGACTCTTTAGAAAGGATCAGGTCATGTGACCGAGTCCTGCAGGACCGAGGTGTGAGGAGTCTGTGGGTGTTCGTGGTCACGCCTCCCTGAGCATTCACCTTGACGGGCCCACAAAACCCCCTGAACACCCCTTCCTCCCCGTCCGGGCTCTCCTATTGGACGGGAGACGGAGCCGGAGCTCGCTCTGATTGGCTGCTGGGACCAAGCCTGTTGCTGGGCTGTTTCCATGGAGATCACTATCACCTGTTTCCTCTCGCCTCATCCACAAACCGATGGAGAGAGAAGGATGGCAGCGACGGGAGAGACAGATTAGATTACAGAATCTGGGGAAATGTTTTGTTTGGGAATATCTGAGAGAAGCAGTCAAGAAGGCATTTCATTTGAGGAATTCTGGGGAAACTGATTCACAAATGGGAGAAAAAAAAGATGATCTGCTTCATACTTTTATAAAATTCTGCATTTATACACAAAAATCTGCAAACGTTGAAGAATCTGGGGAATTTTCTGGACTTCCATTCTGGTACCGATGAAGATTAGCATTCTGGGAGCGTCTGAAACCACCACCGAGTCATCCAGGGATGCATCCTGCATATTTATGCTCCTGCTGCCCGTTTCACCCGTGAACGAGAGCTGCGAGCTTAAATAACGAATCAGAGCTGCTCCTCATGTGGCCGGATGAGACTAATGTTGGTTTTCCAGAACGTAAACACGTCCCAAAATCATGAAAAGCCAAAGAAATGTTAAAGGTGATGAGGAACAGCTGAAGATCTGGTCCGCTTCCAGCTTGTTTTGAAGGAACCAACAGCTCAGATGTTTAGATGCTCAGAGACGTTTGAAGGATGAGTGACGGAGGGAGGGAGGGAGGCTGGTGTGGGAACGATGGGACGAGCAGAAGGAGGGAGACACTGATGGATGGGAGAGAACATGAAAAGGTGAAGAGGAGAGGATTAAAAGGAGTTTGAGCTGCAAAGTTAACGTGAAGATGTCGGCTCGACCCGTCGGACGGATGTGGGTTCTTGTCTGGAGAAGCTTCCGAAGCTCCGGGAGATTCACCGATAGTCATCCATCAGCTCTCCTGCACTTCTCGTTGGTAATGTCTTCCTGAGAAGAGATCAGAACATCGTCTCCCGTTTAGCTCCTGACTCTGGTCTTTCCCTCTGCTGCAGGACCAGGAGGAGGTCTGAGAAGACTTTGCTGCAGGACCAGGAGGAGGTCTGAGAAGACTCTGCTGCAGGACCAGGAGGAGGTCTGAGAAGACTCTGCTGCAGGACCAGGAGGAGGTCTGAGAAGACTTTGCTGCTTTAATCTGCTGGAAACAGCGAAAGGAACTCGGCTTCGGTTTAAACGTCTAAACGGGTTTTTATCCCGTTAACTCCGGCAGACGCAGAGTTGGAAAAGAGCAGCTTAGCAGGTTCTTAAATGGCCCGTTTGTTTTAGAGGATGAGGTTCAGCTCAGATGATGTGGTTCAGTTCTTCAGGCCTGGATCAGCTCCTCTAAGCCTGGTCCTGGATCTGGATGGGAAAGGTTGGATTCTTACTGTCGTGGGGAGGGAGGAGGCGGTGACCCCCATGGATGTTCATAAGATCTAGATCAGAGGCTGGTTGAACTTCCAGCTGGGCTCTCCTGCTCCTGCTCCAAACAGGTCCTGGTTCTTCCTCCCGGGCCCTGGGAGGAGACCCACAGCTCTGAGAAGACTTTAGGCTCCCTCGGGAAGAGCTGGACCAGGTCCGGGTTTTCCTCTCGGACCTCCACGAGCCCGTCGTGGAGAACCCCATCAGCCACCGCTCTGCCTTCGTGCTTTTAGGGATTTTTCCAGGCCTGACAGGAAACTGATGAACGTGAAGATGAACGCGGACAACATGAAAAGTTTCTGATCAAAGAGTCAAAATAAAACCTGATGAAATAAAAGTGAAGCTTTGATGTAAAATAAAAATGACTTTAACGGCTTCGACCCTGACCCGCTTCCTCCGCTGATTCCTCACCTCGGACGTTTAGTTTAAAAGATGCTCCTAACACAAGGAACTCTGGGATTAAGGAATCAGATTAACAATGAAGACACGACGGAACTGAGAGATTAATCACCCCTCATCACGTCCTTCCAGTCAGCCGAGAGAATAATAATAATAATAATAATAATAATAATATACTTTAAACCAGACGTACCTCCAGATTTTTGTTACCCTCCAAGTAGTTTTTATTCCACTTTGTTTTTATTAAATAAAATATCCCTCCAACTCATCAGGAATGTGTTTAAATTATGTTTTATTTTTGTTTAGGCCTGAATGTTTTAGTAGGATATTGATTCTTGATTCTTTCTTAAGTGGAGGAGATTTCTGCTTCAGACTCAGATTAAATCCTGTTAAACGACACGTTTGACGGTAAAAACCAGACCTGCCGTCAGCTGAGTGAGGAGATTCCAGCTGTGACCTTCAGTCTGACCTGCGGAGACGGAAGATGAAGATGCTCCTCCTGACCTTCCATCTCCAGACCTCCAACAGCATCAGAGTGCTCCCTCTGCTGGAGGAAACACGGAACAGCAGCTTCAGAGACAAAACGATCAAGAAACTTCATTTTTTCTGTTTTTAAATATAAATCAAGTAAAAACACAAATGTTAAAAATCAGATAAAATTATTTGAAAAGGAAAACTTTGACTGGAACGAACAGTAAAATAGTTCTTGATGATGATTTAGTCACTGATCAATAAAACAATATAAATTATTTCTAGTTATGAAGGAACACAGCCTTTCATCCAGGACTTTGTGGAGAAGTGATGGAGGTCTGACCTCATCATGACGTCATTTTACCCTGGTAGCTGTTAATCAGACTAAGTTAGAGACGTTTTAGAGCTGGCTAATGTCCATTGGCTGCGGCGGCCATCTTGAATGAGATTGACTCCAAAAGTGAACCAATTTCAGACGTAAACTCACGGATTATGTCCAAAGTGTTTTTAAAAAATCTGTCCAATGTGTCACCGTTTGGACCCAAGGTGCCGGTGAACGCAGCAGCAGCAGGAGGAGGAGGAGGAGGAGGAAGAGGAGGAGGAGGAGGAGGTGACAGGTAACTCCATAAAACAGAAACCAGAAATCAGGAATGAAAACAGGAGGCTCTGAATGAACGGGTAATTATAGGGAGGAACAGGTGAACTGATTAACTGATGCAGGTGTGAAAACGTAAGACTAGGAAGCGGGTCATGACACGGTGGCTCATCATGTAAAAACAGCATCGACCCCCGATGCCCGTTGGGAGACGATAGAATTAAACAACCAAACGAGAGGATTTGTTTACCTGATGGAATAAACAAACATGTCGCACCTTCAGCTGAGAGGTCTGAGAATAAAACCTTCACAAATGACTGCATGAACTGTTTGGAGTAAATCTGATCCAAGATGGCCGCCACATCTGGAGACAAACGTGTTAGCAGCTCTGAGACGTTCACATAAATGTCTGAGGACAAATGATGTTGTACGTTCTGATCAAACCAAAATAATTCCATCATTTATCTTCATCTGAAGATAATACCATACCAGGGTATTACTCCACTCCCACTTCCTGTTTGAAAAATGCAACAAATGCTGTTGCCTTGCAGACCGAGAGGGCGGAGCCGCTAACAAATACACACACGGGCTCACAACGACATTGTGACATCATATGGTACCAGCTAACGTTCTAGGGTACCTCTTAGCCAATAGCGATGGCAGATTTAAATTCATATGCAGTGCAGAGTTTTTACCTGACAACGACACAACACTGACAGTTTTAGGCAGAATATTTAAATTTTAACTAAAATGCACTAAAGTGCAAAACTATTGACGACACGTGTCTGCAGCACGATTAGACACGCATTTATGTAGTTTATTAGGAAAAAATGTTGATTTGGGGGTGACTTGCTCTTTAAAACTCCACCAGTCAAAACCCACCAGAATTTGTTACCTCTATCTGGCTCCATTTTTAGAATTTATGCACTTTCACAAAAAGTATATTTTTTACTATTTTGTTGCATTTTGCACCAAATCTAAATGTGATCATACAGAAAAAAGGTGAGTTTGAGTTTGTTATTTTTTAGTGACAAACGATAAACTTCTTTGTTGTGATAAAAGCCCAGAAAAAATGTGTGTAGTCCGAAAAGTAAATTACTTCTCATTCAAGCTGAAAACTGGATGGACTCTGAAGGTGGTGGCTTTAACAGAACCTCATCAACTCCCAGGACCAGACACCGGGAGGAGATGGAAACCAGTTCTTTGTGCGCCAAATGAAATGTCAAAATATACACAGTCAGAACCATAAAATTCCATCAAAAATCTTCATTCATAAAGCAGAAGTTGCAAAACTGAACAGAAACAAACAAACAAACAAAAAACCCGGCATTTTGTCAACAGTTGATGCTCTTATTGTGAAGGGCTACATTAGAAGCCACGTCGTTGGGGAAAAGATTTTCACCATAATTTAAGGAAAAGGTAAATTTACTTAAAATACTGACATTTTTATAAATTTATAGCAAAAATGTCACAAAATGATTTTAGAATAAAAATGATGGAAAAATATTCTTAAATTAATAATAATTTATAACAGTTCATGTTAAATTTGTACGGAGTCCCTAAGGAGACGCGTGTAAAAAACATGCTGGTTACTCGTCTGCTCCAGATGTTCTCAGTAGGTCCAAGGACTCAGGTTAGTATAGAAAATGACTTCAGATGAATTTGAAGTCATTTTTGTTCACAATCACCAAACGTGATTTTGACTGAAATCAGCAAAAGGAGTCACAAACTTCCTGCTCAGACGGGGAACGTTGCAGGATAAAATGTGACTTTGAAGTAAACAAACATGGCTCTGGTCATCTTGTTGACTGATTGGTGGCTAAACGTCCCAGAAATCAGACCATGAACATCTCTGATTTATGATTGGGGCAGTTCCGTCCTGAGCAAACCAGAGAGCGCCGAACACACCACACACGGTAGGATTATCTGATAAGATTATCTTTAAAGCCGTTACTTAATCATTGGCATCCTTAAGATTGGCAGAAGGGGTTAAAATGGTCGGGATTATCCTGCACTGTGAACTGGCCTTCAGGGCACCAGGAAATAGTGTAGATAAGATATTTTATCGGATTTTTCCCCAAACACAAAAATCTTCTGTAGCTGTTAAGTCACGACGCTAGCTGAAAACTAACCACATCAGTACGCCTGATCTGAATACTTTCTTTTATTCGTGCCGTTTTAGAGAAATTATTTCTAATCTGAGATTAAAGTCAAAATAACGAGAAACGAGCTGAATGTTGAGAAAACAAAGCTAGCTTTAGCTAGCAGCATAAATATTTGACAAATGTTATCCCTTCACAATAAGAACAAGAAGAAAATATCATTTCTATAGCGCCTCTCAAGATAAAAATCACGAGGCGCTTCACAAAAACAAAAAATGTAAAAATATAAAAAAGATTTTAGAAAATGATTAAAATATATTTAAAATTAGCAAAAAATCGACAATTGCGACAAAAAAATGTAAAGAAAGAGAGAGCGTGAATAGGAAAGAGGGAAATCAGTGGATCCTCTGACATGCACACCTACCCCTGAATGTTTCGTTTGAGAAAACTCAGAGAGGAGTTTCTCTGTGGATGTTTATTAATAATAATAATAATAATAATTATTATTATTATTATAAAAACAATTATGAATAATCAGTTTCAAGAAAACAAGGGCTGCACAGTGATTAGAGCTGTTGCCTTGCAGCAAGAAGGTCCTGGGTTCGCTTCCCGGCCTGGGATCTTTCTGCATGGAGTTTGCATGTTCTCCCTGTGCATGCGTGGGTTCTCTCCGGGTTCTCTGGCTTCCTCCCACGGTCCAAAAACATGACTGTTAGGTCAGTCTAAATTGTCCTTAGGTGTGTGTGTGTGTGTGTGTGTGTGTGTGTGTGTGTGTGTGTGTGTGTGTTTGTCCTGTGATGGACTGGATCTCTGTCCAGGGTGTACCCTGCCTGATTGCCCGGTGACTGCTGGAGATAGGCACCAGCCCCCCGCGACCCTACGTGGACAAGCGGGTTCAGACGATGGATGGATGGATGCTTCAGGAAAACAATGGAGTGTTTTTTTTAGTTATCACCAACAAAGGCTGCTTTCTACGTTTTATAATGAACACAAACTTTTATCTGGACATTTAGATTTTATTCTGAAAGTCGATTTCCCCCCCCCAACATTTAATCCAGACTTTTCTATTCTTTATCTAATCCAGACACGCTCAGATTATTTTGTGCACCACTTCTCAGCATCTCATTAAATAAGACAGCTCTGATTAAAACGTGTATTTTTTACTCTTTCATTAAACGTTGCAGAAGCTTTGAGCTGATTCTGTGTTTTTAAGACATAAATCATCCTAACTAGGAAACTTCCTGCACATCGCAGCTGAAATCCTAACGACTTTCCCATCTTGTAATTATTTCATTCAAAGCTTGATTTACCAAAATAAATGTTCCTCTAAGCTTGGTTGTGAATAATCCCTCCCCGCTCCGTACACCAGGGAACCTTCCGTTCCAGGCTGGAAACCTAATTCATGGAATTTGGTCATTTTCCCTCTCGTCTGAATACTGCTGACTGATTACTTTACAGCTTGCTAGCAGCCCACGGAGCCGAGCAGAATGCTAATGTACAGTTTGACGTGTCAATGACTCCAACTTTGAGCTTTGCACGGGAAGCAGGGGGAGCAATAAACCAAGTGGAGTTAGAAGGAACGCTTTGACGGCAGAAACGAGGAAACCAAACCTCCATGATGAGGGCGCCATCAGAGCCGGGATTCAGATGAACGCTCCAGGAAGTCACCGCCTAACGGCAGAAATCACCACGCAGCCACTGACGGTCGTTTGTTTAAACGACTGATAAAGACTTCACTAAAAGTCCCAAGAAGTTTCCTGTTTTTATTTAAACGTGATGAAAAGTAATCTATTACATTTTATACGCAATACTTGGATATTAGTTACAGATGGGACTTTTAATTAATAAGACTCAATACTTAATTAGGACTTGGCCTCTAAGGACTCCGGTCTTGACTTGGACTTGACACTGACTCCACCCCTAAAGACCCCAGACTTGACTTGGACTTGACTTGGATTCAACGTCTAAAGACTCAAGAAGTAACTTGGATTCGACCTCTGAAGACTCGAGACTTGACTTGGTTTTGAGTTCTCAGGACTCCAGACTTGACCTGGACTCTACTATAGAGACTCAAGATGTGACTTGGACTCGACCTCTAAAG